AACAAGGACCTCATTGCATACGCAACGATATATCGTCGTCGACACTTTTCGCAACTGATTTTTACGACGATATATCGTCGCGTGGCACTAAAAGGGTTAAGTTAAACTATCGTTCGTGTCAATCATTCATTCAATCACGTAGATGACTAATAATAATTTTAATTAAAAATAATAAAAATCTTTTTGAATAAAAACAAAATTTGTGAAATAGAGAGAAAATTAAATTGATGATTTATTCGAACACACACACACATACACACTGTTAAGCAATACGGGCTTATTCGTAGCTTTCTTCTGCCAATATGTACGCATGCTAGGTAAAACCCTACAGTGATAAACACACAGAAACATAGAAAGAGAGAGAGAGAGAGAGAGAGAGAGAGTAAAAGAGAATAGGAGAGTTCGTACAAGCTTGAACGAACGAATGAACGAACGAACGCACACGCAACCGAGTAAAAGCCACGAAAACGCGGTAACGGAAACGCGGTGGTGGTGTACTTTCCGACGTGGTTAAACGAACGTTTCGTTCGTTATATACGTGCGTTACACGCGTTGCCGCTTAGATATACATTTTCTGCATTTGGCTTTGCGAAAACTAACATATATCGCTAAAACATAATAATAATAATAATAATAATAATAATAATAATAATAATAATAATAATAATAATAGTAATAATAATAATAGAGAAATCATTATTACAACTTACCTATTTTCTATAATGATCAAATTTCTCTATCATATTCATGAAAACAAAATTAATTGCTAAATTTGTGATTTTTATTCATTTTTAATATATGTAATTTGTAATTTATCGTTTATGAGAACGTACATTAATTGCCAAGGTATAATAATTATTATTAGAATTTACCTATTTTCTAAAATGATCAAATTTCTCTATCATATTCGTGAAAATAAAATAAATTGCTAAATTTGTGATTTTTATTCATTTATAATTTATGTAATTTGTAATTTAGGGTTTGTAAGAACGAACATTAATTGCCGAAATATAATAATTATTATTACAATTTACCTATCTTCTATAATGATCAAATTATATCATCATCTATTATCTCCATTAAAAAAAATTAAAAATTGCAAAATTTTTAATTAACTATCTGTGAAAATGAACATAGATTATCGAAGTATAATCATAGAGAAATCATTATTACAATTTTAATAAAAAATTATAAAATTCGTAATTTTGTTAATTCATATTTTATGTAATTTGTAATTTATCAAACATCTATCCTGGAAACATAATAATAGAGAAATCATTATTACAATTCACCTATTTACTACTAGGACCAAATTCTCTATCATTTCCATTAAAAAAAAAATAAAAAATTACATAATTTGTAATATAGGATTCGTGAGAACCAACATAGATTGCCGTAGCATAATAATAGAGAAATGATTACAATTCACCTATTTACTATAATGATCAAATTCCCCTATCATTTCCATAAAAAAAAAATAAAAGAATTACAGAATTTGCAATTTAACATTTATGATAATGAACATAGATATAATCAAAGTATAATAATAATCATAATTACAATTTACCTATACTCTACAAACATCACTTCTAAATATATTATAGTCTTCATTTCATACATCGTCGATAAAGTAGAAATCATTTTGTTTTTGTTTAAAAGTTCCTCGATGTAATAAATTGCGCTTTAACGAGCATACGTGTAATAATATTAAATAATTTACATGAAAGAACTTTTGAAAAATATCTTATCGGTAAGTGGCACTCAAAAAACCTACAAAGTGTTTCTTATCTCTTAAGTCCACTGTACTTACCAACATTTGCATAAATAATTACAAAGAACAAACTTATAAATATTATCGTGACTATACAATGAATAATAAAAAAAAAGAACTAAAAATGCATAATAAAATGCTCAAGAACGGATACTTTTAACGGATCGATCCAACATGCATTTTTGTTTCACCTATATTTGTTCCTTTTACTTTTATTATTCTCACACTTGAAAAATAAAAAGTCATGTAACATACACATACATACTTAAGTAGTCACGTTGTAGAAAAGAGCCGAGAGTCTTTACCACACGTTAGGAAAAGAGAGTAAACGTCAGAGTCACGAAGTAAACGTACTAAATGTAATGCCATTGGCTGTTGCATAGCTTGCATTCATTTACATACGTGTGGTCTGTGTTAGGGAAGTTAGAGTACCGTTTTACCTACACACACATATATATATATATATATATATATATTGTGTAATATACATATATATATATTGGTACGAAAACAAAGAGAATACACATTCTCTTTAAATAAAGAATATAGGCAATAGCAAAAGAGAAGAAATAGGAAGATAACAAAAGAAAAGGGAATTCAGATGTATGTACATGTGTATGTATATGTGAGATGAGTCTTTAAGGGAGGTCACTTCGCGTGACCTCTTTACGCGTCATCACCAGTACACCTCTTTGTTTTCTAGTGTTCTAGATCGTTTACCAAACTACCATAGAATTTCACTCGCTATTATCGAAACTGCTTTAGGATTTCTATTTCTCTCTCATATCACACATACACATACAAAGATATTCACTCCTCTCTCTCTCTCTCTCTCTCTCTCTCTCTCTGTTGTATAAACGATGACGATTTCGATGTTATGCGATTCGATATACGATATCCAGATCGAAACATTGGAAATTTTGGGAAATACGTCGAATTCCGATCATACCGAGCAAATCATCCCCCTCAGTTTCACCCCCCCGTAAACCCTTAACGTAGTCGTAGGTCGACCCCTCCCCTTCCCCTCACTTGTACTTACTACTTGCCACCGTAGGCACCATCAGAGAGGAACACTACAGAGAAAATCGATAATCGGTAGTGTTTAGCGGCCGTTGAACCGAATACTCTATACTAACCTCTTGAGAAATTTCAATGTAATCGAGTTCAATATCTATCACCGACGCGTTCGGCTAATTTGCGTATATATTGAGGGGTTTAAGCGTAATAAAGTGGGAAAGGTGCAGGCACCACCAACGTCGTACTTTAAGATCGCCTTACTAGATCACGAGTGAAATTTAAAATTATAATTTTAACCTTCGTAGAGAGAAAACGTTAACGCGCTCGTTGCCGTTAGAGTTTCCTGTAACATTATCTGTCACTCTTAATATCGATTATTATTATTAGCAACGATGATTAATATTTTCTATTAAATAACTTTATAGTGCGGTATTATACTTTTTTTCTTCTTTTTTCTTTTTTATTTATTTATTTTTTTTTATTTACCTCATTCRCCCTAAACCAAACCCCCATCTCACTACTGTCAAATTTATCGAAGTTCGTTAATAATATTATTTTCTATCGAAAATCGGATGACATGTTTCTCTATGGTTATTGCATTACAGTTACTTTAATTATAACTGTGTAGTATAATATATTGAAACAACGTTGAGAACTGTATGTACATATAAAGTAACTATGGTATCGCTCATTTACTTGTGATAACAAACTGAAATTTAATAAAAAATCAAGAGACAATTATTAATTATTAATTACACGATTCTCTCACTCGCATAACATACATATATACATATATACGTAAATGTATACGTATATGAATGCATAAATGCATAAATGCATAAAATGAATACGTTTATATATTGGCAATATTTCGACAAAAATTGTATATTTTCCAAGGATATTTAATAAAATTTGTTCCTTTTACATAAATAAGCTTTAACGTAAATTCAATTAGTAAACGAACCGTCGCTATATATTTCATTTATTTTTTCTTTTTTTTTTATTTATTTTTTTATGTTCTTCTTCTTTTTTTTTTACTATCTTTTCATTAATTTTTCAATTTTCCTCATTTGGAAGAAAATGTTATTACTATCGTGCCTTACAAACGACCAACGTCGAGTCTCTACTTCAAACGAGTTTATAATGGAAACGACTAACGTTTTTATTAAATATCTACGAAAGAGAAAGCTCTTTTCTATAATGGTAGAGTAGTATACTATAACTATCGGACCCAGTAAGAGAGGTTCCTTTCGACTAGAGAAGACTGTTGACCCGTTAACGTCAAACTCTGCTTTATAGAACCTGTAACTTTTCTATTTACCTACTCTCCACGGACGATAGACACCGTCTACTTTTATACTGCTTACAACGATATAAGAAATTCAATAAAAATCTTCAATGATTTTTCAATGATATCAAATTGAAAGAAAAATCTTTATTGGAAATTTTGTATATACAATTTTCTATTTTATATATATTATTTTCCAAAATATTTCATTGCAAAGAACAAAATATTAAAGAATAAATATTTCATTTCTTATAAAATTATATTACATATACAATTATTATTATATACAAATATTAATGGATACTTGTGAAAAAAATTATTTCGTTAATAAATATTAGTAATTTATTAACCGAATATTTTATATTAATATATAAATAATTACAATAATTATTATATATATTAATAGGTTTTTTGGAAAATAATTTCTTCAATAAAGTATATTTCTTTGCTCATAAAATTATCTTCTATATACAATAATTATTATATATATTATTAGGGTTTTTGGAAAATAATTTCTTCGATAAAGTATATTTCTTTGCTTATAAAATTATCTTATATATACAATAATTATTATATATATTATTAGGGTTTTTGGAAAATAATTTCTGTAATAAAAAGTATTTCTTTTTTTATAAAATTATATTATATATACAATAACTATTACATATTATATATTATTGGTATCTTTGAAAAAAAAAATAATTTCGTTAATAAATATTTCTTTTTTTCTAATAAAATTTATATTTTATATAAAATTATTGTTCAATATAACATAAATTATATCTACAAAGATTTCTATTAATCACGCTTATTAATATAATCTTTTACTTTTACTTTAAACCACAAAATTATTATAGATCATAACAAGATAATTTTTAGGTATGATTTAAAACTTTCGTATTAACAAAAAATTGTATGTTTCAGGTGACAAAATGGACGCGGAAGCAGCCCTACTCGAAAACTCGCCGACATTGTCAACGATATCATCGGATTTGACAGAAGCGACATATTCTGTACCGGGTTCGCCCTATTCAACAGAATCTCCGATCATCGTGACATCGTCATATAGAAAGACACATGCCGATGACGAAACGACAGTTAAACCGACACCAAGGTTTTCACAGGCAACTAGGAAGCCTAATTTTCGGATACGACCGCCCTACCTCATGATATGCATCAGTATCATAGAGGTATTGTAACTTAAACGTTTATTCTTCGACTATTCGACTTGACATTTATAACAACTTCTTTTTTTTTTAATTTACAAAGAAAATAATACATCTAAAAAGATCCAAAACCTAAAAAAAACTTTTCAACCCTCTTCGTGGTAAGCTCAAAACTTCTCGAGCTCTCCTCGTGGACTAGGATTAAAACTTTTTAACCTAACCGCGTGTTTTTTCTATAATTTCTTTTTCATAAATTATATTATACAAAATTATACTTTTTCCATCTGAAAAGAAAACTGATATATAAAAGTGCGTATTAAACTTGATTCTTCGTTTCTTGGTAACGGTTGACTAATATTAGGTTTTACTACTTGCACAGTGTATCGTCCTTATGAATATTTACTGTTATGTAGAATTAAGAAAAGAAAAAAGAAAATATCGGTATCCTGTCAACTTTTTGCTATTCTTCTTGTTAGTTAACATAATTGTAATTATTCCAATTGAAAAAAAAAAAATAATAATAATGAATAAAAATATTTTAAAATATCGGTATTCTGTAATAACTTTGCGTCGTGATTTCGTTCATTGATATTCAGATCGATATTATTATTATTACGATGACATTTTTTTAAATTAACATCTAAACTCTTTCTTTTCTCGTGTCAGCATAAAACAAATTATTCCAACGTGGTCGCACACTAGTCCCAAAAATAAAGACCAAAAAAAAAGATTCACGTTGCCGGTGAAGGGTTAAATTTACGATTTAAAATTTATACGATGTTATGAAAGAGATTTAAAAAAAAAAAAATAAAAAATATACTCGGGAATACAAGAGAGATAAATTTTATGATACAAAAGGAAGAGATAATATCTTTGATAAGCAAAAATAAAATAAAGAGGAGAAGAAAAGGGGAAATACAGTAAGGGAGAGAAAGAGAGAGAGAGAGAGAGAGAAAAAGATTATAAAAGAAGCTTTGGACGTTTGAAAACCGCCCATTCACGAGAAACTATTGGAAAAGAAAGTTGCAAAGAGCTTAGACGGCGAATCCTCGTGGTTCAAAACGTGTATATATAGTAGTGGTGCCTAGGTAGAACGGATTCATGGCTTGAAGACTTTACATGGTTTGACTTTGGTCCTCATGCGAGAAAGACGTTTAACGAGAAAACGTCGCGCGTTAACTCGGATAAGAAGTTTACATCTTTTTCATCGTTAATGAAAGCCGTCGCGTTAAAGCGAATGAAGAACTTGTGCATTTCTTTCTCTCTTTCTCTTCTCTTCTCTTCTCTTCTTCGTAGTTAACGAAACTTGTCGCGTTAAATAAAGTAAGAAGTTCGTGTTTCTCAGTTAAAACCTTTTCTTCTCATTTTCTTCTTTTTCTTTTTATTCTTTTTGTTTTCTTTCTTTCTTTACCTTTCATTTTTTTTTTTTTAATTTTATTTTTTTTTGCACGAAATACAAAGACAAATTAAATTTAAATCGTTCAAACTCGAATCTTTCGTCTTGAACGAATTTAAAATTCTTCGTTAGTTTTATAATTTACCTTAACTTTTTTTTCTTCTTCTTTTTTTTATTTGTTGTCTTTTTTTTTTTAATCTTTCCGTTAAATTAAATCATTTTATCGTAATATAATATATCGTATATTTTTCTCCAACAATTTTAGACATTCATTTTTATTAAGATTTTTCTTTCTTTTTGTTTTTTTTAATTAACATCAAATTATTTTATATTAATGTTCAACGTTACACTCGTTTATGTTAAAATATTATTTTACATTTCTAATTATAATATATCTATATATCTTCTATATTTGATTTTTATTTTATTACTAACTACGTCTTGTATATTAATTTAAAACATACAATTTTCTCTATCTTTTTTTCTTTTTCAAATCAACTGTTAAAACGTTTCTTATATGAAAAAAAAAAGAAAAAAAAAAGAAAGGAAAATGAAATAAAAGCGAGGAAAGGGAATCGTAGCAATGTTATTAGCTAGGTCAACGCTTCTTGTGAATGAAAGAAAGAAAAAAATATAAAAAAATATATCAAGAAAGAAAGAGAAAGAACAAAAAGAAATTACACAAATATTCCTATACAAATAATACATGTACACAAAAAAGGTAGAGTCAAAGAACAAAAAGAAAAAAGGAGAAGAAAATCTTTTCTTATTATACGTCCCAGAAATATCTTTGATGTGGTACGTAAAAAAAAAGAAACGAAACGAGAGAGAGAAAGAAAGAAAAAAGGTGGAAAGTCAGTGAGTGTGGGTTGGTAGAAAGGTGGAAAGGCGAAAGATTCAAATAAGTGCGATAAAAAATGTCAGAGGTGAGAGGAGTGGAGAGAAGGGAAGAGGAGAGTTGCTACTCTTGTGGTCTTTTGGCACGATAATAATATTCTGGAAGGAAAGAGGAGACTCGTCTTATACTTGGCTGCTTCTTCTGCATCTTTTCTCTCCCACACTATCCTCCCACGCTCTCTTACACACTCTATTTTACTCTTTCCCTCTTTTTCGAAGACTCTACGATATAAGCCTTGAATGCACGAGGGATGAAATGCAAGGAACTTAGAACAACGAAGTTAAATGCACTTTTAAGTCTCTGAGTAGAACCTATCTCTCTGTCTCTCTCTCATATACACTCTTTCTCTTTTTTTCATTCCCAACACTCTTTCTCTGATACTTTCACCGCATCCACTTGCAGCATCCACCTTTTATAACACAGAAAAGAAGTTTCACTCATGTAATAAAAATGCTACGACGTTATCAGACATATATATACATATATATATTTAAAAAAAAAACCCTTATTTTTTTCACGATCGATCTTTAAAGATACCCATACACGTGTTCTACATTTCTCTTTATCCATATCTTTATCTTTTCTATATATCATCTATCTTAATTTGTCTATCGAATCATATGTCTGAATACAATCTCATAAATAACATCTCTTATTTGGTTTTTTTATATTTTTTTGTTAAGTTTATTTTTATTTCAATACGTCAGGATTTACCGAAGGATTCATATTAAAGAATATTTTATTTTATTTTTTTTCATAAATCATAAACGAAACAATCCATATGCATTTTTTGTTTTCTCTTCACTCTTTCTCTCCTTGTATTTTTTTGTCTTTAAATTTTATCAGATATCAGTCATTCATACCTTGGAGTCACTTTTAGCCGAGCAACGATCAGTTTACTTATCGAAGGATACCCCACATACACACCCACGAATCTAAGAACCATCTCGTCGCAACCACTCGAGTTCGTGAAAACGTTCAGTGAGTGAAATGAAATGCGATAAGGATATTCCCTGTGGGAATTAAAGGCATCGATAACGAGTAATGCGAAAGTTTCTTTTTATATAAATACATCGAGTAATCTTATCATCATATTTTTTACTCTTATAGAAAAAACATCTCAGCAATATTTTAAATATATTAAATTCTAACGTAATTTAATTTAATTTTTAAATTTAAAAAATTCATTTTTCATCGATCGAGTAATAAAATTACATCAACGAAATATATTTTGATAATCAAATTCATTATATTAAATTTTCTTATCAATGTTTGATTATTATCAAAATTAATTTATGAAATGAGGGACGGGTTTTTTTCTTAATTTCATTTTTTTTTTGTCCACGTTTTATCTTTCTTATTTTTATTTTTTTCTTGAATAAAAATATTTCAACAAACAATTATTACCTTTCCATCCTAGTTTTTACATCGATTCGCATACATATGTAAAATACGAAACAACGATTTAAAGATTCGTAAAATGTTCATGGAATCGAGAGTCCATTTAATTTCGCGGTTGTGAGTTTACGCGTTACCTACTATTCTAGAAGTGACTTTTCGACTCCGTTGTCGTCGCCATTTCAAGCTCTTAGGATGATTATTATCGTTACAGCACAGCACGCTATACCTACATGCTGCTCGTTCTTTCCAACCCTTGATATTTTTACTCGCTCCTTTACCACCACCTTCCCATTTCATCTTGTTGCGCCTTTAGAAACGCATTTACCGTTTTATACGCCACTTACGTCTGTAATTTCGCGGTTAAAGCATTATTTCGCTAAATTCGCACTTGGGATATCATCCTGCTCTTATATGCTGGTGGTTATGATGCATCATGCACATCAACCCTTCTTTTTATCGTTTTAATGAATTTCCCTTTTTCTTCTTATTTCGAAATTTATTCCTTTTTTTCTTTTTCTTTTTCTTTTTTCTTCTTAACATTGAGACAAAAAGAAAATCTTCTTCTTAAAAATTACGTCAACAAGAAAAAAGTTTAATTACTTAAGGTAAAAGCTTTTTTTATAATGCGTTAATTAAATAAAAATATTATATTTACTTCATTTTTTCTGTGATGGGAAAAGATTTGAAGTAGTACGATAAATTTCCGACAGAGAGCGACAGTAGAAGTCGATAAGTTGCGCTGTAGCTACTGCGCATGTCATGTGGTAGGGATGCGCGATCACGATCGATATGACCCACTGTAGATCAATATTTACGATTAGTATGCGTCAAACATTTGAGAAAAAAAGGTAATTTATTGTTCGTAATTATTAATAATAATAATTAATAATTCTTTTTATACACGAACTACTAATTTTAATCTCTCATTTTTAATAATGTAGTTTATCATACGATATATTAATATTATAAAATTTATAATTTATTAATTTATTTTTTTTTACAACATAATCAAACACTATTATATATTATGAGTTGTTTTTGATATTTTTCTATGACCAGACACATAGACTTTAGAGATACATTTTGGTACATTTATCTATCATTAAAGTTTAAAACAAAATCAATTATACATGGGCGTATACATAGGTGTATTTATTTAATCGGAATTAGTTTGTCGTTCGTTAAAATGATAGAAAGAGAGATAGAAAATGAAGGGAAGTGGATGTTTGCTCGTTTTGCTTTGGCGAAAGAGAAAATTCGGTCCTCTCTACTTATCGTTTTTCCTTTTCTATCTCTCTCTTCCTCTCTTTCGCTTTTACAGTTGCATAGCATCGACGATAACATAGAATTGTAAACTCGACGAACCGCAACGGTGGTCTATACCTTTCACCACTACCACCACCACCACCCCCTATTTCCTAATGCGACCGCTATACCCTTAACTAAATTGGATCTGTTAATTGAAGAGTGCAAAGCCCCATATAATTGAAACTCCAATGATAGCCTTCCAATTGTATCGAAATTCATCCTTTTTACTTGACTCTTCTTTCATTTCTCTTTCACTCTTTTTCAGGTTAAAAGTGATCACTGCAAAGATCGATACAGATCGTTCTTTCTTTCCTTTATACTTTCTTTTTCTTTTTCTCTTTTCATCTTTCTTCTTTCTTGTATTTTTCTTCATTTATCAAAAGCATCTCTCGATTTTAAACCAAGGTGTAAACTAAGAGTATACCTATGTATAGTTTTCTTTTCGAGTACCAATTAAGATTAATCGTTGGAAACGTTCAAATTATTTCCAACGCGTTTGGGGTAGTACTCCTTTGAATAATTTAACATCTAAGAATCGGATGCTTAAACTTATAAGTAACGGTTGAAAAATGGGAATCGATAAGACTTCATTCTTCGTTGGTTTATTTTTTCCATAATTGAACATTCTAAGATTATTTTATAACTCTGAAGATTTAACACGAAAGAAATTAACGAGGATTAATGTAACATTTCAAATAATCAATAATTAATCCAATTGTTTTCGTCTCTTCTATCGAATAATTATCTAGCGTATAAATTTAATATTACTATTGAAAAATATACTATTGAAAAATTTAGAGCTTATTCTTTTACAAAAATGTTTGGTCAATAAACAAAAATTAGTTTAACCAAAAAATAAATTGCTTCTATTAATATAACATTTCATATAAATTCTTATCTAGTTTATAACGTTGTAACTGACTTTTATAAATTATATATTATATATATTTTTTGTAATTTATAAACTCACGTATATCTATTTACAAAGATCGATAGTAAAAAAAAAGGAATTATTTTAACTTTAGATTAACAAAACTTTTTAATCCCACTCAAATATAATTACCATATATTGTAAAAAAAATACTAACGAAATAAATAATACTCTTACAGTTATTAAATCATAAGATATAATATTAACAATAGATTATTATTTACTAGAGAGTAGAATATTTTTAAATATTATTAATCATTATATTTTTTCTAATATAATATCAATTCTCTATTAACCCTTAGAGTGCTATGGACGCATACATGCGTTTGGTAAAAATTACCAGAGTGGTCTATCGACGCATATACGTGTTTGTTAATATTAATGTAACATAATGTAATGTATATATTAATTAATTAAATTATTAACAGTTAGAAACAAAAACTTTAATTATTAAATATAATTAATTATTAGAATCTAATTAATAATAAATTATTCCGTTTCTACAAAACATTTTAGTTAAAAGTATCTAACATTCAAAGGGTTAAAGATAATAAAATATAATAAGAAAAAGTAATAACATGACATAATAATATACGACATTATCAAAAGTTATATCAAATAAGTATATATAATATAAATCAAGTTGAAAAGGTATTATCGTTTTCATGGGTATGTTATTTTAAAATAACACGTATACGGTGTGTGTGTGTGTGTTCTGTCATGCCAGATAACCGTCCACTGTTTCGGAGACGAAGCGACGTTGCGGAGATGGTTGGTCTATGACCCTCGGCAAAGGGTTCAAGGGTGGAGGTTCGCTTCGTACATGCTTCTACACTCCAACGCGCTTCACCTTGTGCTCAATGTGCTCATCCAGCTGGTCCTGGCTACTCCACTCGAGGTAAGCTAATCGACTAAATTGCGAACCTCACACCTTCATCTCTCTCTCTCTCTCTCCATCTCATTCTATCTTACTCCCTTTGTGTGTATATATATATATATATATATATATATATATATATATATATATNATATATATATATATTTGTATGTATGTGTGTGTATATACACGCATATCACTTTCACTATTCACTCCATCGATCTGCCTGTTGGTCACGGAAACTCACAGCATTCTAGCCTTTGATCCAATGAAAGCTATAATTACTTCATTAAATTTTATACATTACAGTTTAACTATAAATTAATTATTAATTTTGTATATAACTAATATGTAATAGTTACGTAGTAAACTAATAATATAAATTGTAATACAAATATTATTTTGAAAATTATTTATAATTTAATGTTGCACGTTGTAATACATTTTTAAATTATATTATGAATATAATTAGATAGTATATACATATATATATATATATTATATTCTCTCTTGAATCAAGATAATAATTTTCTAATGTGTTCGTAGTAAGAAAATTGTTCGAATAATTATACGATTTAATATATTACATTCCAGTTTATTACTAAATTAAATATTTTACGTTGAAAATAATTATCTTATTTGTTATTTATAAAAGAGTGTTGAAAATAATTAATTAAAATTAAACGAGATTTAAATATTACAAATAGACTTTATTTCTAATTTATTTTGATGGTTTCACATTAATGTTATATTCGTAAATGAATTTAATTATGAAAATAATAATTCTCTAATTCATTTCTGAGCTTAGATGTAACGAAACGTTTTGTTAATTAATTAGTCGTACGCAACAGTTTACTAACGAATACATATTATTGTTATTATTATTATTCAACATCTAATAAATAATAGTAGTAAATAATTCATTAGCTATTCCGTTTGTGTTTTATACAGGTTGAACAAGGAAGAATGGGAGTAGCAACAATTTATTTAGGTGGTGGTGTATGCGGAGCTTTAGGTGCTTCACTTTTGCAACCTAGTGTTTATCTAGTCGGAGCTTCGGCAGGAGTATACGCATTACTCACCAGTCATCTTGCTCATCTTTATTTGGTGAGCTAATTTATAAATATATATATATATATATATATCTGTATAAACGTTTCTTTAACTTTCATATTCAGATCATAATAGTATAAATACAAAATATTGTTTCATACATTTTTTATTCTTTCTAACAAAATTTTTTAATTTTATATTCAATATTTCCTATGAAGAATATATATTTATTTATTTATTTCATAACTCTGTAAATTGGAATTATATATTTATTTTTTTTATTTACGATTTTATTTATTCGTTTACAAGGATCCAAAATGGGTATAGTATTAATCATAAATTGCTATTTATTGTATTAGTATTGTGCAAGATTATTGATGAGTATCTATAATAATTTAATATTTCTATTAAAATGTTAAACGCGCGCGAAATATTTTTATATGTAATTACCATTTATTGTACAAAGTCAATAATAGTAATATTATATTTAATATAATATAATATTATATTAAGTAATTATTATATAATTAATAATTATATTATATTATAATAATATTTAATATAATATAATATTACAATATTTATACAATATTTACTACAATATAATATACAATATTTATAATAAAATATCATCCTTAATAATCTGATTAATAATTGATTATTTATATTGAATAAAATATTGACCCATACTTATATAGTATTAATTTGATTAAAATACTAATGAAATAAATAGCACAGTGTTAATAATAAAATATTTACAATGACAGAGATCCTTAATACATTTTATGTTAGCCCTTAGATGTAATCGTTTTCAATAACCCTACGGCTACGAAGACAAAGCGTATTTGTGACATGACACTGTGCGAAAACTCTGATATATAATCCAGTACGCTTGTCACAAAGGTGTTACTGTGACATAGCTATTGTGAAATAGATTTACATTTCGTACAATACAATACAGTCAAAGTCAGTTTCTGTAGGTCTCGAGTTTAAACTAAAACCGGTAACTAAAAGTTCCTAGTTACAACTACGATTATAAAAAAAAAATAATTATAGAGAAAAAAAATTTTATTGGTGAATTAAACAACATTAAGTTTTAATGCTTTTCGTAAGATTATAAAAAAAAACTTACCTGTCTGTCGAAAAAAAAAAAATTTGCAAATATTTCTATACTCTTTGTATGTTTTATTTATTTTAAATAAATTAAAGCTCTTGTGATTTTTATCATTTATTTAACTTATGTTAAATTTATAACTGGGGTTGAGAATAAAGTTGGAAGAAAAAAAAAAGAAATAAATTAGGAAAAATGATGAATTAATTTTGGTAAAATCATTTTGAACATGATAAATGGAAAAAAGTTAAATAAATATTATAAACAATTAATCAAATACATGGTATTGTTTTCAGTGTCATGGTGAACTACGTTACGCAGGTTGGCGTTTAGGTGCTGTTTTATTACTGGCCAGTGCAGATTTTGCATCATTACCAATACCAGCATTAGTTGGTTGTGGAAGAGTTGGTTGGGCTGCACATGTTGCTGGTGCATTAGCCGGACCACTTCTTGGTCTTGCTGTCTTCCCTAAACAAAGCAAGAAGGATGCACGAGGACGAAGATTCGTCAGATTTGTCAGATTAATATCTGGCGTTAGCATATTGTTATTGATAGTAGGCGCCATTTTGGGAAACGTTTACATCATTGCATTACCCCAAGTAAGGAAACCCTCCTGACAGAGGATAGAAATGCTCGTCAAACTCTGTAGGAGGTCCTTTCTGATCGTCAAGATCCGTGAGGCTGCTGACAGTGTTTTCGAGTAAAATATATCAATGATCTAATAAGAAAACAAATAACAAAGAAATTAATCTCATATTTCGCGTGAGTTAATAAAAATAATTTACTTACCGAAAAAAAAAAGAAGATAAATCACGCACGAGTTTGACTAACATCTGTAATTTTCATCTATAACAGATCTTTAAAAAAAAAAAATGAAATAAAAGTAGCTCGTGTTGTTGTCAAGCGAGCAAATTTTTAATACCAAAGAAAATGGCCGACGTAGAATTTCATTTCGATTAATCGAAAATTATTGTTTTCCTATTTATTTTATGAATTATTATTTGTTAAAAAAAAAAAAAAAAAACAACGATAATTTAATTGAAATGGAAAAAAAAAAAAAAAAAAAAAAAACAAGGGATTAGATCTATTAAATCGTTTAAAAAAAGGACTAGAAAAATTGTTACATCGTAAAAAGTTCGAACTCGTGACATTTTATTCTGTGTTCAAGTGTGTTCTGGCCCAATTTAAAACTATCGCTTTATAAGTGACAGGACAAGTTCGAAAGATCGAATAAACGTAGCGAAAATTGAACGTTGATAAAGAAATAGAAAAAAAAGAGTGAGAGAGAGAGAGATAATCAATTTAAAGGAATTCTCGCAAACGCGCGACGTTTCGATACACGCTTCTTCGTTTTTTACGTGTTCTACTGCCTCGTGAAAAATCGAAACGAAAATGCACGTTCGAACTCTATTACGCGTTCGACTAGTTTCGTTGCCATAGTTTATTCTATTGAATATAAAACCCACACAAAAAAAAAATATATATATATATGGATATAGAGAAAAAAAATGTATGAAAAACCAAAAAAATATTCAACACGCATCATATATATATATATATATATATATATATATATATATGTATGTATACGTGTAACTCGTCGAATTTGTAAAATTCACGAAAGTAAATGAATTTTTGCATTGACGTTGAACGTATTAATTACGTATTGTTATACGAGGAAAATTTAAATGAAGAAATAAAAATAAAAAAAATAAACGTTTGAAAAAAAAATCTTATATCGAATTGGAGATAAAAAAAAAAATAATCAATAATTAATAATCGTACATTAATTATTATCATCGTTAATATAATAAGAATTCGTGTTAATTATTTGCAAAACGTCTTAAATTTATGGATATAATTTATTGATAATATTCTTTATTCTTGTTTGTTTTATGAAGAATATGAATTTAAGATGTTTCAAATTAAACGAACAAAAACAAATAAGGATTCATGTTAATTATTTGCAAAATGTCTTAAATTTATAGATATAATTTATTTATTAATATTCTTCATTCTTGTTAATTTTGTGAAGAATATGAATTTAAGACGTTTTAAATTAAACGAACAAAAACAAGCTTTAAGCTTATACGAGATTTAGATAGGAGCATTATTCTCTTACAATCTCCTTTTGAACGTTATCGATTAACATTAGAAAACTCGTAATAATATTATTATATCGAATAGTTAGAACATAGAAGAAAGGTAGGAAAGTGGTAGAGAAGAGAGAGTTATTCGTTCACGTTATATTAATTCCCGTTTTATAATAGGAATTCGTTTTGTAATTTATCAAAAGCATTTCTTGAGGTTTACATCGACGTTCTCAGCCCGTGTCTGAATATATTGAATATATATAGGTAAAAACGAATTTGATTTTCTCTTGACGTTATTAAAACGCGTTACTCTCTCGTCTAGAAATAAAATGAGAGTGAGAGTTAAAGTAAGAGAGAAATTTTACGTGCCGAGAAAAAGAATATCGATTGATCGTGAGAATATTATTTGAAATTTATTCGATTTTCGTATCTCATTCGTTCAAATGATGAAAAATAATCTTGTAAAAGAATGGAAAAGAAGGAAATTAAAACCACAAAAAGGAAACCAAATAAAAAAAACATAACAATACGATATTAACTAGTCCGAATAGAATTTTTCAACCGGTAGGAAAAGAATTTTGTTATTATTGGTTAACTCGTTGATTGTCAAATGAAAATTGTTCGTATAATATGAACTTGGGGTTTGAAAAGTTTTAAACATTTCGAAACGAAAAAAAACTTTTCTTTTCCTTTTTTTTTTTTTAAGTGAAAAAGTTAGTATGATGGAATAAAATTGTTTTTATATTTGGCTCGATACTTTTGAACTCCTCTATCCAAGTATTATATAATAATAATAATATTCAATCATTGGTTTGTTTTTAAATGTAGATGATAGAAAAAGATTTAATCAAATTTTGTATGGAATTTTTATTTGTACGACAGTCAACGTGTTAGTATAAGATAAAGGTATGTTATAATAAAAAATAAAAAAAAAATCCAAAAAAAAAATAAAATAAAATAAAAAAATATAAAAATAAAAATAAATAAGCTATGATGTCTCTCAACGAGACTCTCGATTACATTATCTTCGATATATTCGCAAAACAAAATGACGTCACTAACGTAACATAACGATCGTAACGTAAAACGTCATGCACGTCACGTCACGTCACACGTCACACGTCACATGTCGAATCGCGATACGTCACACACGTTATAAAAGCTGCCAATATTATTATGATAAACTTACGAGTAATCATTTTCCCTCGTAACGTATATAGCGCCATATAGGGCCGAGTATATAAATATAAATATATATATATATGTATATATATAGTATATATACATTATGAATAAAAAAAAAATTAAAAAACGCAAAAAAAAAAATAATTATTAATAATAATTTATATAATTAATAATAATAATAATAATTATATAATATAAGAGAATATTAAAAAAAAAAAAAAACAATTGTATGTGTTAAGAATCCTCGGCAAATTTACACGTTATGTACCTACCGTTTGTGTATGTACTTTGTACCTAGTCGTTTATCGATATTACACACGAGAGAGAGATATAAAGTGGCTGTGATTATGTTAGATTTATCCGTTTAAAAAAAAATATATAATAATAATAATATTAATAATTAAAAAAATAATAATAAAAGAAATACACAACAACGTATTGGAATAAGCTTGTACATAAAAAAGCATATATTAAATATATATAAACCCAAGATGAGATTATTATAATATACGAGAATGGGTTGAAAAGTTGTGAGCTTCGACAGTAAAAAATAAAATTTAAAAAAATATAAAATAAAAGTGAATTTGTCCGAGATATAAATAGTGTTTCTATGTTAGGCTCGATACTTTTCAATCCACCCATGTATAGTTGGCAAAATTTCATTCAAAAAATGGTTCACGTATATAAAAAAAAAACGATTACATATACATATATATATAAAAGAAGATCAATTTTATTCGATATTTATCAGATTATGCATATACATACAACAATATATTAGATAATTTTAAATACGAAACTTCCGATTAGTTCGATTACTTTCAATTCAAAATCGGAAATTTCATAATTAATTACATAATATTTATATCCAATATAATATATGTGAATGATCCATATTCAATGCTTGTTTTTTTTTTCTTATTATGTATTACATTTTTATTAATATTTTATATTTATTTATTATTTTTCTTTCTTTTTTACGAAATGGATTTTTATTTGACATAATAAAAAAAATGTATACAACACAGGAATCGCGTGGACAGGTGAAACAAAAGTAAATTGATGAGAAAAGAAAAAAAAATGAAATATAATAGAATATTACTGTGTATAAATGATATTTATTACGCGTGTTACGTATATTTATGTGTATGTGTATATGTGCATACGTTCCGTATGGTTGTGTATGTACATATATATAGTACAAGCCTCTATGCGGCATTCAGAACGAAAGATTTACATCAATGGCCTTTTACACCATCGTGTAGAAATAAACGATGCACTTTTCTTTTACATACAACTGTTCGAAACGAACACGCAAACTTCGAGGGATACATTCTTCGTACAAGAAAATTTGAGGTATGTATTTACGTACATAATATCATTTTTCACTCTTCCTCTCACTCTCACTCTCTTTCTGTTTTTCTATCTCTCTGTTATTTTTTTTATTTTTTTTTTTTATTTTTATGTTCGTTCTGCTTAAAAAAGTGTACGAGAGAGTCAATAAGCAAGTAAGCGAATTGGTGTATCTTTTTGTAAAAGTGCAACGTATATGCATGTATGTATATACTTATTTATGAATGCATGTATGTATGTTTGTATGTATGTATGAAATGAAAATAATAAAAAATAAAAATAATAGCTAAATTACTCTCCAAAGAATTGTACTATATAATATCGTTTAAATCACAATGAAAAAAATCTTTAATAACAAATACAAGATTAAATGTAATCACAAGCTTTTCTTTTTAAAGAAATTTACTTCTATTTGCGAGTGTATTATCTATTATAATGTCTGTGTGTAAATGTGTGGGGAATGGTAGAATATATATATAAAAAAAAAAAAACTTTCTATAAACCTTTCTCTCTCTCTTTTTTTTTTTTTAAATATAATGTTATGAGAAAAAAAAAAAATATTTGATTCGTACTTATCCTTATAAAAAAAAAAATAAATAAAATAAAATAAAAAATCGATCGTGCAAAATGAAAATTAATATTATAATATACCATTAGAGTTAATTAATTCGCAATTTATTTCTAAATGATACGTAAAGATTTGTAATATTATTTTACTTTTTCGTGTTACTTTTGAAGATGCATATAAAAGTATGTAAATACATGGAATAAACGTATAACATTACATTTATATACGGTTTTATTACGTATTCTCTTCCTTATTCGAATATTCGAATACTCGAAATAACGTTACAGTATCAGAGTGTTTATTTAACGTTTACTTGGTCGGGGTTATCTCACAAATACAAAGAATGGGAATTGCATTTAGGTATAAAACGTAACACGACTTTTCTCTTCTTTTTTTCTTTTTTTTTTTTTTTAAAGGTTTTAAAGTGGATAAAATTTCTTTCTCCCTCACTTCTATTTCTTTATTTCTTTTTTTGTAAAGAGGAAATGTTATCCAACATCTATAGGTTACTATCACGTTCTTATCTATTGCATTTAAACGGTGAAGATTAATTGGTAAGATAAATCAAAATGGAATGGCACACATATATATGTGTGTACATATATATATATACGACTTAAACTGCAGGTATGTCTTCTCAGAAGATTTATACAGAGTGTCTCAAAATATGTGAACATAATTTAAAAAATGTATATAATAAAATAATACAAAATATAAGACATAACAGACATATTGTTTTCTTTTCTCTTGAAAAATTAATAATTACTCTAAAACATAATTTCACATTTCATGATACGAGTATCATAGATCGTACATTAGATCATTTTTGATAATACAATATTCACACTTTCAAATAAATCTCTTTTGACAAAATTATATTATTACAACAAATATCATTTACTAATTATAATTAAATAATAATTATTACAAATATTTTATTCTTAAACGATAAACACTGTAAGTATTTGTAAATACTTTTATTTAAAAAAGGAAATGTATAAAATGGAGAAATACTTTAATAAAAGCACATGTATTTTTTTCATTCTTATTTATGTACGTGTTATAGAGAAAATTTGAAAAACAGTAAGAACCTTTTGTGTGTACTTTTTTCTTATTTCTTAAAATAAATATCCTGTTTCTTTGAATTTACGTGCAGGAATCAAAATTGTTGAACGGTAGTGTATGTATTTATAAAAATAAAAAAACATATATGTATATATGTGTATATATGTATGTAAAGAGAAACAAAGAAAGAAAAAGAGAAAGAGTGAAAGAGAGAAAGAGAGAAGGTGATGGGGTGGTAGGGAATGGGATATGAGGATAAATGGGTTATAAAGGGTAATTCTCATTAAAAGATAGAGAAATGTGTTGAGATGAACAAACGTCGTGCTAACTTTCGTCTTTATCCACTTATCCTTCAAGACACGAAAGGACTATTTCTTACAATTACATCCTGATCGATCCACCCAGTACGTGAATTCTCTTCCCTTCCCTTCCGAAGACTTCCATTTATAACCCGTTTACAACACTGCTACTACTACTAACTCATGAGAAAATATTTTGTCACGATAAATATTATAGAAAAGCCTATTTTTTGTTGTTTTTGGAAATTAAAACAAAAAAAAGAGTGAGAGTTTTTTTTTCTTTCTTATATATGTTTATTCGTGCCCATAAATTATGAAAGTGGTCTAAAGTCAAAAATTAAAAATAAAAAAATGAGTTCATCAGTTAATGCACATACCACATTAATTTAAATTAAATTAATTCAATGTAATTTTTACATATTGTCAGAAATCATTTTTTATTTTATTTTTTATTTTATTTTAATTGTTAGATTGTGTTTTTTATTTTAATATTATATAGAATTTATTTATAGTTCAAATGTAATTCTTATACGTATATTTGTGTCCATACATTTAAAAAAAAAATTAGTTTATCAGTTATTTCACATTACACATTATTTTAAACTAAATTAATTCAATGTAATTTTCACAATATTGTCAAAAATGAATCGGTAAATAGTGTTTATTACATAGAATTAATTTAATATTCAAATGTATTGTAATTCTTCAAATATCTCAAAACAAAAGATAATAAATGACTTATCATCACTTTCTAATTATGAGCAGATTTGCCATACCCAGTTATTTTGATTGTTCGTTATAAAAAATGAATACAAAACTAAAAAAAGGGTTTTGAAAGATGTTTGTTAAAGTTTGTTTAAAAAGTCAAAATAAGGATAAAAGAAGAAAAAACAGAAGAAGAAAAAGAAGAAGAAGAAAAAAATTGTAGCTCAGAATTTTTTCTATTTTTTCTTTTTTTTCCATCTTTCTTTCTATCTTTCTTTCCTACTTGCTTGCTACCTTGCTTTCTATTTCTCTCTGTTGCTTGTTTCCTGAGATAGAGAATCGCTTTGACGTGACGGTAAACATGTTAAATCTAGGATGCGAATCTTGTAGCTTTAAGAAAAGAAAAAGAAAAAAAATAAGAAGAAGACAGAGAGAGAGAGAGAGAGAGAAATAGAGAAGAAAAAAAAAGATAAGAAGAATGTGAAAGTATATAACGAAAAATCATCTCCCATTCGACGAGCCGAACTACGAAACGTTCTGGCGTAAAGTTATTTTCGCGCATTTTTCATCTCGTAAAGAAAGCGAGAGAAAGAGTATCCTTCTTTGCGTGTATATGTGTGTATGTGTGTAAAAGAAAAAGAGAGAAAGAGAGAATATACAGTTAGAAAGATAGACAAATGGAAATGGTAAGATCCGTGGGATGTGAGAAGGCTACGAAAATGGAAGATCAAATTCAAGATTCGACCTCTCTCTCTCTCTCTCTCGCTCTCTCTCTCAACGAGACAAAAGAATAGTAAAAGAGAAACGAAAAATATATATATATATATATATATATATATGTGTGTGTGTGTGTAGGTATATATGTATGTATATGTGTATAGGATTAAAAAGTCAAGGAGCATACTCGCATTTGAAATATCTTTCCCATTTGTCAAATTATTACTGTTAAACTTTGAAAAAAAAAAAAATTATTTTGTTCTTAACGTAGAAAAATAAAATTTTTCACAAAATTATTTGTTATTGTCTGTAAAATTTTGTTAATAATATTTATCTCAAATATTATCGTAACAAACCACCTGTAAGGTTTAATTTAATTGATATAATTAATTAATTTAATTTATTGTATATTAAATATTAATATATAATAAATATATATTAAAAATTAATAATTAATATATAAGAAATATAATATTAAAATATATATTTAATATTATAAATTAAATTAATTTAATTTAACATAATTAATAATAAATGTCTGACAAAGACTTTGGTTTTTTAAATTATAAACTTGTTTTTGTTTTTACGTAGTAAAGTAAAAGTTTGGATTGCGGTTTTTTTTTATTATTATTGCATAATTTGTTAATTATATTTTTTGTAAAGAAAAACTTTTTTTGTCTTTATTATCAAATAACATTTATGTATGAAAATTTTGTTAAAAAGAAGATATTTCAAATTTCTAGCTTAACTTGACACTATCTCTTGTACGGTATAATAGAAGATCAAATTCAAGATTGGACTTTCTTGAGGAGACAGGATGACACCAAAAGTCTGACTACATGTATATACATATACATACATATATATAGGATTAGAGAACCAAGGAACTCTCTTCTATCCGAGATATTATTCCAATTTGTCAAATTTTTATTTTCTCTAAATAAAAAAGAAAAGACAAAACCCAAAAAATAGAAATATTAAATTTATAACAATAAAAAGATCATTCAATTACGCAAATGATTTAAAAATAAAGACAAAGAAGAGAAAAGGAAAAAACAAAATAAGATACAAAATTTGTCGATAAAAAGAAAACGGTTAAAGTTGTTTTAAGTTTTAAAGTATCGGTTTTGTTGTGTGTGTGTGTGTGTTTCATTCATCGATCATGATCAACATCGAAGTTGTTTGCATTGGACTCCAATTTCCGTGCACCTACATTCACGGCAAGGACTTGAGAGCTCGGTAATGATCCTACCGACACGGTACATCCGCCCGTAGATATTACATCCTGCTAACTTAAGAAGACTACTCACGGATACGGGTATTTCGTTGTCAAGGATCTTCGAGGATACCTCGTCCTCGTTGTTTCCGTATTTCGTCGTTGTCGTTGTCCTTGTCGTCGTCGTCGTAATATCAACGAACTTTGTCGAGTTTAAGGCCGTTGACGAGTTCATCTTAATAAAGGAGAAATTCACGTCCTGATTGCGAATTTCCTGATCCTTCTTCAATGAAAGTTCTTCTTCGGTTTCGTATGAAGATATATTCTTTGTTGTTGAGATCATTGTAGTAGTATTAATAGTAATATTATTATTATTATTATTATTATTATTATTATTATTATTATTATTATTATAAGTAATAGTAGTATTATTGTTATTATTATTATTATTATTAGTAGTAGTAGTAGTAGTAGTAGTAGTAGTGTTAGTAGTAGTAGTATTATTATTATTATTAATATTAATAGAAATAGTTGTAGTAATTGTCGATGGTATTGTACTAATGCTTTCGTTAGCATATTCTTTGTAATAAGAAGTATCATCCGATGATGAGAATAAAAAGTCAAGGACACTACCGAAGGAGAATATATTATCCTTTTCAGGCAGGGCTGTTTTCATAGTGGTAGACGTGGGTGGTCGAATAGTCGAGTCAGCAACACTGACATTGCCATTCTTGATTATACTTGATTCAATATCTTTCGTCGAATTTGTCCACGTACTTGAATTCTTATAATATATATCGGTGATATTTGATAATGTATTATTATTATTATTAATATTATTATTATTAATATTATTATTATTAATATTATTATTATTATTATATAATATAGTAACTGTATCCGGTGCTTTAATTAATTGATCCAATTTGTAATTATTCGAATTATCAGGATCATGTTTCGTTTGATAAATCAACGATGTCGGATATTTATTAAGTGGTGTGTCGTTAACGTTTTCACCATTTTTCGGTGGTTTTAAAGACACGTCGATTTCTTGACCATAATCGTATGGTGGATGAATCAAATGTAATTTATCCATGAAATCGAAATTGGAAGTATGTTTTAAAATATGTTGAGATGATCCTTGATTTTGTAATATAGGAGGTGTCGTCATTGGCGTGGTTGGCCTAGACGTTGTGATACCGTGTTCAACCAGATAAGGGATCATGTCTTCCATGAGAGAAGGCAAATCCGGAGCTGGTTCCGTTTTGATGACGTCGCGAAAGGGATCAGGAGATACGATTGGTTGTCGTTGTGAAGGTGCGGTTGAATCGACTCGATCTAAAACCACTGTCGGTGATTCCTCGGCATTCACTGTTCACACAAATTAGCATATTTGTTTTTTTTTTCTATTTTAAAAAATACATTTATTTTTATAAAACTCGTCACCCTAGAAAAATTGTACTTTAAGTAATTACATCGATTTAAATATCAAAAGGAAAATTTTTTAAATTGGATATTCGAATATTTGAAACATTTTGTATCATATATTAGTACAGTTACTACTTTAAAAGTATAATTATTACTTTGTAATATTTTATTTTAAAAATAATTGAGAGAATATCGGAATTATATTAACGATATTAAAATAATTTCATTTGATCGTTTTTTTTTTTAATGAAATAAATCAAATTCAATATTGGAAATATCCATAAAATAAGTAATATTAAAAATCATTAATTACACAAATTTATCTTATTTCAGGTAACGTTCTCTTTTTGCCATTTCCCAAGTAAAAAATGTTTGTTCGTTTAATAGTTGTAATAAAATGAATAGAAAAAAAAAAAGAAATTACTTACCACACGTGATTTTTCCACAGCATCCCTCCGGTGTGTTAAGCCTCTGGCAACCAATCTTAAGCGGTGGACACTTTTCGCCAGAGCACACGACGTTCCCGTAATAGCACATGCAAATTATGCAAATACTGGTACTAGGTAGAATCTCTCCGTGACGATATTCTCGGCTTTCGAAGAGACAATTACTGGCCAGGTCTAGAGTCACAAGCAGACACGTATGATAACCCTTATCGTACTAACTTTTTGTAATTGCACTTAATCATAAAGCTTGGTGCAATCACAAGGATATCGCGTATAATATTCCACATATAATTTATAAAATTACAATATTACCACCGTTTTTACGATGAGGTCCGGTAATCTGTGCCGGTACCACAGTCACGCCTGTACCAATTTCCAAATTTAAATCTGTCGAATGATAGGAACTATCAAAGTAAGGTGGTTCCCTTGGTACGAACCCACCTGAAAATAAATTTTTAATTCATAAAGTAGTAATTCTTAGAAATTTTCTTCTCTTCTTTTTCTTTTATTAAATAAAATATAATGAAAGGAAAATAAAAGTTGTCCAAGTTAGAATAGGATGGTGATTTTGATGATGATAATGAAAATACAAAAAAAAAAGAGAACATTTCCCAACAAAAAAGGTTCTCGAGGTTCTAAAGGATCGATAAATAAAGTAGTTACGGATTGAAAAAACATTCTTATAAATAGTCGTTGTCGTATTGCAACTTTCTTCGTTAGCTAGCTCTCATCTTCGTGTCATTTCATTTTTCTTTTTTTAATAAGTTTGAGAAAACGATTTTAATATTGACACAACTATGTGTGTGTATAGTAACTTTCATTTTATTTTTCTTTATAATCTAATAGAATTTCCTTAACTTTAGTTAGTCATACCAATAATATCATTCGTTCGAATATAATTATTTATAGATAGAAAAAGAAAAAAAAAAAAAAAAGAGCTTTTTTCAGCCCCTGTAGATAGATTACGCGCGTATGCAACAAGCGTATATTGCCTATCATCAGGCACTCAAAAAATTATCAAAAAAAGTATATAAAGTATTTCCTATTTTCAGGCGCATATAATAATTATAATACTAATATACTTAACTTTAATCACGCTTACATTAAATTGAATTAATTTAATAAATGGATATATTAATTTATATTGAGAATATTACATGATGTCACACGATAATATGTGTTATGTGTTAAAAATGTTGATACTTTTTTGATAGGAGAAATATCGTAATACTGTAAATTTTAAATACATCTCTGAAAAGCAATTTACTTTAATTATGTCATATAACTGGGTGACGTGCGTACCTTCAGTCTCGATAGGAGGACTGAACCCGTTCTCCTGAGTGGCAATATCGTAAAAGCCAGACGTGTCGGTTGGCCGCAATTCAGGTGGCACGACTACCGAACCGGAAGGATATCCTGTGACGGCCGATGAAACGTCTTTGTCTTTCACCAAGGCATCAGCAGCTACGAATGGAATTATCCTGGAAAAAGAAAATAAAAAAATAATCATTCATTTTTCTTCTAACAAGATCTCCTACCATTTTATTTTCTTTGACATTCTGTCAAATTGTTTTTGTCCCCAAAGAATGCAACTTATTTAAATCTCCATAATCTAATTTTTTCTTTTCTATTGAATTTAGAATAGAAAAAAAAAAGGAAAAACAGATAGAAGTATTTTTATCGTAATATAAAATTTGTTCAAATATTATTTAAACGAAAAAATGTAATTGATCTTTCGAATTATTATTAAAAAATAATAATTATATTACGATAACGATAATTATATTTTGTAATATAATCCATCGAATGTAAAAAAAAAAACGTACTAAAATATTTAAGTTAACATAGTAAATAGGTAAATGAAGTGGATCGATTTAACAAGCTCGTCAAACCCACAGAATGCGTCGAATAACATTCTACAGGGTGGTCCTATAATTTACCAGATAAATCAAAATTTATTAAATTATTTGAAATACGATACTTTTTAGACTACAAATTTTCTTTTTTTTAGATTTAAAACAAAGCTGTTTAAATTTCGTGAAAGAATAAATAATAGATTTCAAAAAAAAAATAAGATATAAAATTGAAGACAACCTTAAAGGAAAGGATTGAAGAAAAGAAGATTGTTATTAATGGATGTTAAAAACACGTGGTTCACACCTGACATTGGGCAATGACGGAGGTAAAGTCGGTGCACTGTAGTCGTACTCGCTATAGTCTTCACCCTTCTCACGATGAGTGATGTTCAGAATAGCCTCGACATCCGGCGGGATGGATCTAATTGGATTTATCGTGACACCCTGTATATGGCCTACCGAGACATTCGTCTTCACTGTCACGTTCACCGCTAGGATGTCATCCGGCATGAGTATAGTCGACGATGAACCGCTGACGGGTCCTTTATCGATATTTCCTGTCGTCTGAAATGGAAACGTTTGCACGTTCAACCAAAATGGCGTCTTTAGAAAATTCTAACCATTCATTTAATAATTATAATTTACACTCTCTGTCTCTGTCTCTGTCTCTGTCTCTGTCTCTGTCACTCTCTCTCTCTCTCTCTCTCTCTCTCTCTCTCTTATACAGTGTACACATGTGAAACATAATTTCATATTGTCAATAATAATAAGTCAACATTTTTGTGACTTGTATTTATATATAACGTTAAGTATTAATATCTTTATATATATAAATTCAGTGCCATATTGTTGGTTTTCAATGAACTTTGAAACTACTGAACCTATCTTAATGAAATTTGTTTTATTTTGTGTGATTTTTTTCAACTTAGCATATAGGATAGCTTTTATTGCAATTATTTTTATTTTTTATTGCAAATTGAAGGATTTGTTATTTAAAGGTTATCTCGTTCTTTAGGTACTGCATGTTTTCGATAGATGGTGCTGTATTGCAATTCAATTTTTTCATGTTTTTTTCAGATTTACATATGACATAACTAACCTTGCTTTTTATATTTTTTCGTATATTAATATTTTATGTATTTCATTCTAATTATGGTATTATTTTGTGTATTGTTATAATTTATTAAATAGTTTAGAATTATATTAAATCAACATTTTGTAACAAAGCCACAACAACACGCGTAGTCGGAGCATCCTAGTAAAATAAAAAAAATAAAAAAAGAAAAACATTTAATAAAAAAAACTCATTAGAAGATCGTCTTACGTACGTTTTCATCATTTTCCAAAATAACCGTAGTAATATCTAATTTAGTTGAAATTTCGTCGTTAATCTCTGTGGTAGTTTCCTTCTCGTCTTTCTGATCGGCTTTATCTTCTTCCATTATGGTAGAATTTAAATCGTAATTTTTCGAGACGTTAAAAAAGGTGTCAGGTGTTGGTACCGTCATAGATTCGAACATCGATGTCGTCATTTCTTCGGTGGAGGATGGTAAATCGTTGGCTATAACGAACGAGGTTTCCGTAATAGCATTGGTAGAATAGGTCCTGGAAAACTCGGTGGTTCCATTAAGGTCTCTATTGAACAAAATCGAATCCGGTATCGTGCGTACCGTATTCGTGGTTATCTGAAAAAAGAAAGATTCCCATTTAACGTGTTCAATGAATTCATTCAATTTAATCAATTAACGAATTCACATTTAATTTTATTACAAATTTCTTTAAGTATATTATTTTTTTTTAATAATTCTCATTTCACATTTCGTTCTCGTACGCTCAACAACATTCCTATAAAATCCAATTAATTCATTCGTTTCGTAATTTCTATCGCAAAATTTTTATTTATAAGAATTGATTGAACATTATCGAAACTATGTCAAAAATTTCATCAGATTTTAATTGATTTTAATTTTTTTTTCGAATTGATCATTAATAATAATAAGATTATTAACAAAATTGCTCGATATACTACGCGTATAAATGAATATTATTATTATTATTTTCTAGGATTAGTTGGAAAGAAAAATTAAGCCCAGCTGGACTGATTGAACCAGGATTCTAATCCGGATTTTCGGTTTTCCGGACGATTACTTTATCCTTTTGAGCTATCCAGGATTATCGGTCAATTTTCTCACGAATAACCTATTTTATTTGACACGAAAGAGATATCCTCCCATTCCACAATATTAACTATAGAAAAAATATATTCTAAATCTATCTATATGTATTAGATTTCAAAGAAATCAATCACGTTCAACGTGTTAAAGCATTGAGAACGAATAACGAGATATTTCGTCTTTCATATTTTATTAAAAAGCTATATATATATATATAAAATCTAACAAATAAATATAAATTAATTTAACAATATTAGAATGAAGCAAAAGTTCATGCGTTTTAATTAATATTTCATTTGCAAAAAAAAAAGATTGCACTATCTGAAGTAACACAATAAACGTACGAACTTTTGGTTCACCCTAATATCTGAAGAATAAAAGCTCTTGAAATTTATTAAGAAAGAAAAGAAAAGAAAAGAAGAAGGATTTTTATAGACATGAATTAGATGTTGCATTAGGTCGATAATACCTCATCGTTCAAAGTGGTTGATAGACTGGCTTCGAAGATTGATCTCGTGTAAGGCATCGTCTCGATCAGGATCTCGTTGTCCATTATTTCGGTTGGGAAGGTCGAAGGCCAGGATGTCGAGTCTTCGGTAACAGAGGATTCACCATCGACGGTGATCGTCCTACCATCAATCCGTTCCTCCACTATTCGATGACCTCGTCCTTCGACGGGTGGAATCGTTGTCGTACGGTCGATCGCAGGCTGGACAATCGATCGTTCGTTGGCTTATTGTCTTATGTCACGGACAAAGGCTGGATTTTCGAGTATTTTCTGCACGATATTTTTCGTTAATTACACGACCAGACTCGAAGAAAACTCCAAACATAGACAGATAGTTAGATAAATAATTAAATAAATAAATAATTATAATAATAAATAAATGAATATAAACTCATTTATATGTGGGACAAATTTTATAAAAATTATTTAATGTGTTATGTCTCGAAAATGGACGTGTTTTATATTTAATAAAATAACAAACACGATATTTGATATACAACTTTTGTGCGCGTGTGTGTGCGTGTTTGTGTGTTTGTTGAAGCATTTAATTATAATTGGGGGATCATTATTTAACAAATGATTCTTTCATTAAAACAGCATGCAATTAATTTATTTTTTTCTTTGAAATATTTTCATAAAAATTTGTCTTTCGTTTAGATGCTCCATTTAAATGTTACATAAATTCATTTTTAACATTTTTCTTGTTAATAGATTTTTTTTTAGTATTGAATAGTATAATCAATATTATAGTTCAAATAATTATTAATATTTAATCTTAAAATATGGAATTATGATTTTTTTCTTTTTTTTTAATTTTAATAATCCCATAATGTAGGAGTCATTTTATGGGTTTGTAATTTTTTCCAAGATCAAAGTCGTTATTATGTATTTAATTAATTTTTTGTCTCATAATTTTCTTCCATAACTTGACCCATTTGATCAATTTTTATCAACACACACACACACACACGATCACGCAAACACTGACACATAAAGTGGAACGAAAAAAAAAAAGATAATAATACAAAAATAATGATAATGATAAAAAAAGTATAAAAATTATATAAAAGAAGGCAAATGATGGAACGTACGAAAAAATTGGTCTCCTTGCGAAACTTGGCATAGTCCTTGCTGATGAAGGCATACGAAGCGTAGTTCTGGGTGGCCTTAACCTCGATGCTACCGCCTTGAACGTTTAATCTGTCAGTTTCTTATGGCATTCGGAGTAGAACACCTAAGTGGTAATCAGGGTTGTGAAAGAACCCAAGATTCTTTTCAAAACGCCCGGCCTAGATTGTGTTTCTTTTATTTTCTTAATATCTCTCTGTCTCTTTTTACGTAACATAAAAAAAAGCTCCTGTCGTTTCTCAGTCTATTTGAGATCGTGGGAACAACCTTGGGATGTTCTTCTTTCAAAACGTAAAACAAAATCTTTACTCTTACATACGGAACCTATTTTTTTCTTCTTTTTTGTTTTGTAAATCGTGATACACATAAATTCTAGATTACTCTCCCTTTATTTGTGGTTTTATGGAGAATAAAACTTTTTTTTAAATAAATTTGTAATACCACAGTGTTAGCAATAAATTGGATGATACCACAACTGATGAGTTTGATTTTTTTTTTTTAAGCAATTACTTTTCTAAGAATATCGAGCTAATTGATATTTGTTCTTTTTTTTATTATATTAATTGATATAATTATTAATTCTGTAGAAATAACGAAACAATATTAACTTGTTTATTTAAAAAAATTATTATTTAAGAAATTAGGAAATTCTTTAATTTTAATATCTCTCTTTAACTATTAATAAATTATTAACTTATATAGATTATAATATTTTACTAAGAATACTTAACTGCATCGATTACTACATGAAAAAGAAAATATAATTTAAATAGTAATTTTGAGAAAGAAAATTTCTTTTATCCCCTATAATAGTACATCCTTGTCCTAATAACTTTATCCATTAAATCATCAAAAACACTAAAACATTTTATCGTTTCAATTTAAATATTTCTTCGTATATACCAAAAGCACATAAGTCAGTAGTAAAAAAAAATAAAAATAAAAATGTTAATCGATCGATCTAAATTCTTTATATATTATTATACGATAATACTACTTGCTTTTTAATGAATAGAAATAAAATGAAATCAATAAACATAAAGTGGTATAATTGAGTATAACTAGAATGAAAAAACACAATCCTAGCAGAGTGTATGGGGTGGGAAGATATCGTAACAACCCTAACATAAACGTGCATAAAAAACTTACTACAGTTGTAGGTAGACGGACAACATTGTCCATCACGGACAATTGGACTGCAACCTTGAAGTGGTGGTGCACAGGCTAATGGTACACATCTGACGGCACCCATAGCACAAAAACAATTATCGCATGGTGTTTTCCAATCGATGTCACGAACCATTTCACCTTCCTCGTAATTACGATCACCAACTTGACATTCTGAAGCATGTTTCATTCGTTTTATATACGTTGTATATCTCTCAAATTACACTTATCTTTATATAGTAGAGCCTGTTTTTGTGCGAAAGATAGGGATCGAATAAAAAAAATCGTATAAAAAAATATTCAAAAATTTTATAAATACTTACATATAATAAACAACTTTGTACGATACATTAAATAAAACTTCAAGACCCGGAGGTCTTCCCGGTGGTCTTGTTTTCCTATCTTTCCTATTTTTGCCACTTTCGGCAAAATTATTGATATTCAATTATTTCAATTTACATACGACATAATCTTACTTTTTCTATTTTTTTGTAGTATTATTTTGCGTATTGTTATAATTTACGGTACATACGTATTAACGCCACCGCAGCAAAATTCCGCTAATGCACCAAACTACACCTTTAATTGTTGTGACAAATCATAGAATAAAAAACTTTATTTAAAATCAAAAAACTTTCAAAATTCAAAGCATTTTATTTATAAAAAGTAGTCAATCGGATTTCGGTGGAAAATAGGACGATATAGAATTTAACATAGATTCAAAACAGTCTCTATTTTCTTTAACCTGATGCTGTCACCATAATCCTGACGGAACCCTGACGAAACCCTGACGAAACCTTGACGAACCCTGACGCAACCCTGACGCAACCTTGACGATTGCAACAATAAGGTTGTTGTCTGCAAACAACAAGATTGCTCTTTATTGGCGCATTAACGGAATTTTTGCTGCGGTGGCGTTAATACGTAAGTACCTAATTTACTAAATAGTTTAGAATTATATAAATCAACATTCTATAACAAAGCCACAGCAACGCGTAGCCGAAGCATCCTAGGTATTTCTATAAATAATTGAATCGATGAAACATAAAATTTTAAATCACAATCCCTCTCCCCAAAAAAAAGAGAAGATTCAAAAAAATGTATCATTAAATTCTGGAATCCTCAAACTAATCTAATCGTCAAACGCGATCATTCATTAGGAGGAACATTTAAATGTATATTTGCACACAAACTGACCCGTTTGATACCTCTAACTAACATCAGAACGGACATACGTATATATCCCACCCTATTTGATGTTTGGTGAGTTTGGATTAACGAGGGTCTCCCTTTTGAATCGTTATTTACCAATTTCACGGTTGTTCGTCATGGAGAAGCCAAAGGGATAGGAACACAGGAGGAGACACGTGAAAACGTTTGAGAGATCTGGCCAGGGAAATTTCTAACGAATTTTCACTGTCTTGTTTAATCTCGTTAAAGTATTATTATATTCACCTTGGACAATGTGAAATGTCCTGTGGTAGAGACAGAGAGAAAAATAGTTTCTAAATGTATAATACGTAAACGACCGCTTAAACTTGATGACGATGAAAAAGGTTGGGTCGAGGATATGTGAATAAAATGAGATACTTGGTATAAAGGGTTGGTACTTGCTGGAGTACTGGGTATAAAGGGTTTAGTTGGTAGTTGATGGTTAAATGGAGTATCTCAAATCGTACTACGTAACGTCGATTTCTAACCCTTTTCTTCTTCTATCTATCGTCACTTCGATTTTCCTTCTCTTAACTCACATACACACACAAATATACACACGCACACACTCTCTTTTTCTCACTTGTTCTCCTCGTACTCGTTCAATTATTCATTAACTTCGACGTAGATCTTCCATTTCCGAAGGAATCGGTGAACGCGAGTGCGAACTTCGAAATACTCTTTACGTTTCCTATTTGCCTTGGAAAAGGTCGATGATCCTAACCTTTTTATTTTCCTTTATTTCTTTTCTATTCTTTTCTTTTAGGCGTCTAACGTTAAGAAGATCACCGGAAAGATTTTCCGAATCTAGCTAGATAGTTCTATTGAAAATTTAACGATTCTTTTCCAGTTCGCAAAATTCGATTAAATTTCTATATACGTATACATGGAAAATAAAAAAAAACCCTAACCCTTTCTACTCGTATATCTAATATTTTCTTTAAAAAATTAAATTTAGAAAGAATATCATTAATTGACCCGTCAAAATAAACAATAATTATCTTTGATTTAATTTATAAACCCTTTAAATCGTAATAATAAGAATAATAATTTTGTGTATATGAGAAATTTTACGAGAGCCGATCGATGACGAGAACATTTTATTTTCAATCATTCATACGATACGATTCGCGTGTTATAAATTAAAAAATAAAAATGTTTTATTTTTTTAATTTTTTATTTACAACTCACCATTGCCTGACAGGGGTGTTGACGTTGATGCTCGTGAATCTTTGAAAAAAAAAATATTTTGTATATATTTTTTCTTCTTTCTATCACCCTCTCTCTCTTATACTGATCTTTTTAATAATATATAATAATTAATTAAAATATAATATATATACAAAAAGAATAGAAAGTATGAAATTAATTGTAAAAACTCACGTGTGCAATTGTAAGCTATGGGACAACAGGAATGAGGAGTGTATAATGGAATGCATCCCGGTAATGGCAATAAACATTTCGGTCTGATGCATCTTCTTGCACCGGAAATGCAATAACAATATTCGCATCTACGTGATCCCTTCATAGCAGAACCTGGTCCGTATCGTACACCTTCGTAAAGGCAACCTATTTGTATTAAATAAATTCATTACTTTCTCTTCTTCTTCTTCTTCTTAATTTCTTTTTTGTCTTTTTCTTTTCATGTTTATCTAAATAATATTATTAATTATAAGAACCTTCATCATTCGATGTTTCTTCCGTTTCAGTATTGGCTCTACGCAACGTGTTTTTCGTATCACCTGCGACATATAGATAATCGATTTATAATAATTAAATACATTCTTTTTTGTTACAAAAATATCTTTAAACATTTAAACATTTTCATATAGTTTGTAACGGTTGTTAGTAACAAAACTGGATTTTAATGTAAAAAAAAAACGATGTATTTTTTCTTTATTATTCTCTTTTAATTTTATGAGTAATAATAAGAAAGAAATAATTAATTTATAGAATAGAATAATAATTAATTTATTAAATTAATTTATCGTATTAATGTGGTTCTTTTTTATCCTAGAAATGATAAAAAAAATATACAAAAAATGTATAAAATATTAAATAACCATTGAAACGTGTAGTTTTTCTATTTTGTTAAATTTAAATTAAATATTATATAATATTATATATATAAATATATATTATAAAATAAAATTAATATATTAAATATAATAAAATTAATCTTTAATATAAAATATAAACTATAATATAAAAGAAAAGAAGAAAGATGATATATTACTGGTATAATGATCGTTGAATATAATGAAACGTTGTACTTTTTTTTTTAATTTCGTAAATTTTTGGATCTTATGTATGATAAAAAAAAAAAGAAAAAAAAAATGAAGATATAGCAGAATTAGGTCATCGTACTAACGTGGTCCACCGCATAAAAGTTCGGCACAGCAAACATTTTCTTCGGGTTGTCGAATATGACAACCGGGTGGCGGAGAATTAGGTAATCTTGGACAAACACGTAATCGACATCTGAGTGCACCCTCGATGCATCGACATTGCAAACAGGGTTCGGAAGTATTCACCATTGTACCCTCCTCATATCGACGACCATCGTATCTGCACCCTGCGAACAATGTTTTTTTCAATTCGAAACATTTTACCATTATGGACTATAACATTCTTATCATTTTCTTTCTCTCTTTTTTATTTTTATTTTTATTCATTCATTTATTTAAAAATATAAAAAGTATTTATTGAATTGAAAATTTGGATTGAAAATTTTGTCGGAAAATAATCGAAAAAATATTTTTGATTCTCCTGCAAAATATGTATGAATTAATTCATAAACTTTTTTATATTTACGTAAAAAATAAAAAATAGAGAGTAAAAATGAAATATGTTTAATATCACGTTTGATTGATTATTTATTTGTAAAATATAACAACAACAAAAACAACAAGTAACAAACCTCGTGAATATATTTATTTCTTGCCATTCTCAATCTCTTTTTTTATCTTTCTAAACAATGAAGATGAACGTAACGGGACGATAAGAAAAACTGTATATTTAGCAATCGGCCAAAATTGAATTGACGATGAATCCAATACCTTTTGACAATAAAATAGAACGAAGGATTTAGCTTGTACCTATCTTTCTATTTCATTCTTGATACTATCTACTAGCTACACATATATATAGATATGTACATAGAGATAGTAGTACTATTATCTATTTTGTTCTTTCGAAAAATTTCGCGAAGCAAAATCGACCAATCCGCTTGTGAATCCTACCAATTTTACTTTTCCTTTATTTATTTATTTGTTTTTTTTCTTTTTATTTTTTATTTTTTTTTTTTTTTTAGTTTTCTTTTACATTATCTATTTACATACCACCATACAGAAAGAGAGAGAGAGAGAGAAAAAGAGAGACACACGTTGAACATGCAGGACGACACATCGTGCTCTGGTGGTGCCGGTGCTGCTGGGACACTCCGATAAATCGGATTCCCCTCTGATAAATCAGCGAGAACGCAACGATAAATTCGCGACCGGGTCGGACGTATCGCGAGGAAATATCGCGTGATCGTTACCAATTAATAACCGAACTCGACTTTAACTTCTTTCTAGGAAAGAAATCTCCACATTTATTTTTTCTTTTTTTTTTTTTAGTCCGTATATCTTTTTAACTTTTGTCTCATTCTTTTTTGTCTTCTTCTTCTTCTTCTTAATTTTTTTTCTTTGTTTTACTTTTTTTTTTCTTGACATTTCAATCAGAGAATCGATACTTACGATCCATTGCGTATTAACGTGAGGATCAACAACATGATAAATTTATCTACTTAAAAAATAGCATATATATGCTATTATATTTTTCTATTTCAACATCGAAAGACGATACTTTTTCGATGTACGTTTATAAAATCTATTTTAATCCAATTCACCGAATATAATTCGATCGTTGTTATACGATAACGTTCGAAGGGTGTAGAATTTTTCATCGTATATTGAAAAT